GGCTGCGTCGCCTCTGGTTACGCAGCTTCAGGGGCGGGGTTTCCCCCGGGGCCCAATTCCGCCGCGGTGGAAATTGGGCCTCCAAAGCGGGGGATTCCCCGCCCCCCGGGCCCATTTGGCAACCCTAAGATAGATCCAGGTGGCCAGCCGTGTTGATCTGAAGCAGTGCAACAAATTTAGTGTCCCGTAGCACCTTTAAGACCAACACAGGTTCATTCAAGGTATGAGCTTTTATGTGCACATGAAAGCTCATACCTTGAATAAACCTTTGTTTGTCTTAAAGGTGCCATTGGACTCTAAGTTTTTTGTTTTGCTACACTGAGATAGTCTTCTGCCTCATAGATTAGGAAAATATATACCTTCTCCCTATTCCAAATCTTGGGTGAGGACAAATTAAGAAATAAAATGAATGCATAGGGCTTCTGGAGGATCTATAGAAGATTCCCACTTACAACCAAATGCGCTGATCTGAGAGCTGCACACGAGAGGGTCTCTCTCTCTCTCTCTCTCTCTCTCTCTGTCTCTCTCTCTCTCTCTCTCTCTCTCTCTCTCTCTCTCTCTCTCTCTTTCTTCCAAGAGGCTCTTGGAAACAGAAGGACAGAGCTCTGAGGCAGGCCTGGAAGCAGAACAGCAGTAGATTGAGCAGGGGATAGCAAGTGTCTAGGTAGCAAAAGGTCTAAGTGGATGTTGGATCTGAGGGAGACGCTGCAGGGAGCCTGAGCAGAAGTTCAGGCTGTAATCCAAAGAGAGCAACCCAGAGGCGAAGGCATGTGGGGCGGGGCAAAGCAAGTGAGCTGGGACTCCCCCCCCCCCGCGTCTGCAGTCGGAGTTGGGGGTGGTGCTGGCAGCTCTCTAAATGCGAGCAGGCCTGGTGATGAAAAATATTTGAATTTCCCAGGCTTGGGGAGAGGAGGGGGAAGTTAGTGGACAGGCAGCTGATTGGCTGGAGATGTGGGGAAACTTCCAGTTCAGAAGAGGCAGGGGGGGAGGGGAGGGGAGGCGTGTCCAAGGTGAGGCTCAGTGGGATGTGGGGTGCTGGGTTAGGGGAGGCGCTCCATCCAGTCAGAGCAGAGGTCCTCAGCCTGGGGCCTGTGGGGGCCGTGGTGCTCCCAGCACCTTTCCGGGCGTCTCCTGAGTGTTCCTAGGAAGTGGGCGGGGCCAGGTGGGTCTCTTGCCCAGCAGGCTTCTGATTGGCCACCGGGGATCCAATGAGCTGGGCAGATTAAAACAATGTTGTTTCAGCAGCAGCTGCCAGGGTTGGTTTTATTTACAATCTCTCCTCTTTTCCAGAGTATTTTTCTAATGATCCCTCTTCTCCCTTACAGCCAGGCTTCCTCTGGTGGCAGCCCCTTTGTGGTTGCGCCCATCACCCTGTGCAAGAATTCCAACGGAGCCTGCAGGCTCAAGAGGCTGGGGACCCCCCCCCCCAGCTAGAGGCTGATGTCATTGAAGCTTTTTTTGTTAGAAAGGCATGGCTAATGGAGCCCTGTAGAGCACTGGGACTGAGCCAAGTGCATGGAAGAGGAGTCTGAGAGCGGCTTGTGTGTGACGGTCAAGGCCGCTTCCCCATGGCAAGGTGTCTCCATTTCTGCATTTAGTGTCGCAGCAAGTGCAGAACATTTGTATTGGCAACAGACTGCCCACATGGGAGTTTTCCGCCTGCTTTCTTCTGTCGGCAGCTGTTTCCCCTGCATTTTTCCTCGCTGCATTCCTGGAGGACTTTTTAAAATGGGCACATGACCCAGGGTTCTTTTGATGAAGATGGGTATCCCAGTCCTGCCTGTTCTTATACCAACACCTTCTGCCTCCTGTTTTACAGACAGCCCAAAGTAGAGCTTCTGGACTCTGGTCACAGGACAGCAGCAGATCATGGTGGCAAATTTAAAAGCAGACCTCATGTGACTGAAAACTGACCATTGGTTGTCTGCTGTCACTGTGGCAGGGTTGTTAGCTTTTGTATTGCAAAACCTAACCCTAACCCTAACCCCAGAAAAGACACATTTGGCTCAAGGGGCCAGAGTTTTGGTTGAGTGCAGTGGCACCTTTAAGAGCAAGAAAGTTTAATTCTGGGTGTAAGCTTTCGTGAACTTCCTTGGTCTCAAAGGTGCCACTGCACTCAGTCATTGTTCTGTTGCTTCAGACCAACGTGGCTGCCCACCTGGATTTTTTTCTTGGGCAAGTTGTTTTACCTTTGGGGAGGGAACCAGACTCTGCAGAGAGGGGCTCCCCGTGCCCAGAGAGGTGGGGGTGGTGCAGGGGGCAGACGGCTGGACTTAGGCTAGCAAGTGGTTTTTTAAAAGTTGTGTGCCTTCCCTTGAAGGGTCGTGTTGGGAGGGGTTGGTTTTTTTTTTGCATTTTGCAAAAAAGTGATAATACAAGTAATAAAAATGATAATGTGAAAAAGGGGGTAATTATGCTTTTCTAGCCTTCTGCTGGTGTCCCGGCAGCCGGCCTGGTGGGTGGAATTCTCAGCTGTCCAGACATATCCTAACTGGCTGGCAGCTCTAGACAAGGGTGTGTCTCTAAGACCAAGGGGTGAACTACACAATATGTAGTACTCAGGTTGGGTCTGGGTCCGCCATGAGGGCTCTGTCAGATATGCACTTGCAAATTCAAATCAGGCTCCACGGATCAAGGAAGAGAGCTCCCCACGGGGGGGGGGGGGGGGGGAGGGACTTGCAAGACCACATGAATTGTATAGACCCAAGGACAACCCAGGGGGAGAAAAATAGCATGTAGTTAGGGAGTTTATAGCAGTATTTGGAAGAACAAACAGCCATTTCTGCTGATTTCTCCACAGGAACATAATGGGGAGGGGGCCCCCTCAGTGGATTACAGTGGGAAAGTCCCATTCTGCAAAGTTCACAGAGGGGCTGGATATACCTCACTGGCTCCTCAGAATAGCACTTCGGGGGCCTTTTCCACCCTTACTACTCCAGGTCCTTTGAACAGCTCACTCTGTTTGCTGTCTTGACCCCTGTCCTGACCTCGCAGAGCTCTGAAGCCTCGTGCCCAGGCTCGGGCCAGGTTCTGGCACTTCCTTACTGCAATCACCTCAGTGGCATCAGGGAGGCTGGGTTGCCATTTTCCCCTGAGGCTGTCTGGGGTGTTGGTGTCTAAAGAGATACTTGCGAGGGTTTCCAGTCCCCTCCCCGGCCACCAGTGGGGGAAGGGGGGCCCAAGGTTTGCCAGATCCAGGTTGGGAAACTCCTGGAGATTTGGGGATAACACCTGGGGAGGACGGAGAC